GTTAACCATGTATGTACATTATTATACCCAAAATTATATATTGACTCAATAACTTTTTTAAAGTTTATGGGAAAAAGAAAAATAACATGGAACTTTCTCCTCCTTATTTTCAAGAGATTGAAATGAGAAAGTTTTGTAGCCTGGTGTATTCCCTACCATTTTACTATGTACATGTACATCATTTGTGTCTGATTGATGTGTCCCTTTGCTTTGTTGTGATAACACTACTGACTCAAAGTAAAACAAAAATAGAATTTAGAAAGCGTAATATTTCCTTTTTGAGAAGTGCATTGCCATCGAGATGATCTCGTAGATTAGGGCCATGCTAGGACAGCCTTGCCAAGATCTACAGAGCGAGATGTTGTGTCATTGTCCATCAAAATTGTGTTTACATCAGTTTAACTCATTCAGACAAGCAAAATTCATTGTATAGCAATATGAGAATGGTATAGATTTACGTACATGTGCATGTTCATACACTAAGTAAATTTGTTGTAGTCTGAACACCATACAATGTAACGTTGTACCATTAAATGTATGGCGAAATGGAGGTTGAGCTTCATTTCAAACAATATATTTGGTAAAGAATCTGGCTCCACTTGTATTGTGAATGATGTATCTAATACGAAAACCGTATAACTGGGCAGGAATTACTTGGATCTTGAGTGCTCACTAATAATTGGCCAGCAATATATAGAGGCCAATTTTTTACACAACTAAACTCTTGTTCTGTTTCTTTGTAAGACTTTTTTTATGTACTATGTGTACACCTCTTTCACTATACAATGATTCTTTATGCAATATTTCTTTATACAAATTTCGCATAAATTCCTTTTTGTGCAAACAGGGCAAGAGGCTCTTACATGTACATGTATATACCAACCAGCGTTTTAGATGACGTTTCATTGCATGATGAATATGTGTATTGGCTGGATGAAAGTTCAAGTGCATAATTGTATTATGATCAATATTAATTCGCATGTGAAACTATATTACACTGCATTTCATCTCCATGTACATGTTGCTTCTGTGAAACAGGAAGTTGATGTTAAACTGCACAATAAAACTGAAGGTTTGGGATACATGTTGCTGTGTAGAGCTCCCCCCCCCCCCTCTCACACACTCACACACACACACACACACACACACACATTTTCATATCCCCCTTAGAAAGTGATCCTCTGCTAACCATGACCATATATTCCTACATTTTTTATTTCAAACTTTTGAACATGTGTTTCAAAGTCTAGACTATAGTGGTCACACCTTGAAGTTCAAGTTCAATGTAAATGACATGTGACTGGTATGACCCTACACCCGGTCTATCCAGTCTTATCCACTATTGATAGTCTACTTTGGCAGACCCTATGCTTCGTAAATCATGAAACGTTGGATCGGCAGTCAAGTGGCAATATTTCAAAATAAGATATTCATCAATTGTTAGACAGCACTCCAAGGGACGGGGAGCTGGTATTAAGTGAAGCATTGATGAAAGGTGATTGCGCTGAGGTCATTAATTTGCTACCCTAAACAGGGCACAAAACAACTTTGAATGAAAATGGACCTTAAATAAAAAATTTAAAAAACATTTACTGACAGTTCATGTAGTAAACCTTGATTCTTCTTCTTCTTCTTCCAGTATAGTACAGTCCGCCGTTGGCGTATTATCGTACCTTGTGCTTGTTAAGTGTCTGATTGCAACAGACTAGTAAAGTTTGTTGTAAAAGTGGTACAAGCTATTAAAACTTGCATATTATTAGAAAAGAACATTTTTCATAAAATATAGATTTTCATATTTGTTTTGATCATCACTATGATGATTTTGCTTTATTTTTTTGTTTGATATTTGAACAAGCTCTGCTTCTAGTTATTTTCCTCTTTTCTTAAGCTATTTCTATTAAATTTGTTGTTTCATTGTATATTTTTTAGTAATATAATTATTCATTGTATTATGTTTCGCATGAGAAATAAAAGCATTTGAACTGAAATACTGAGAATATTTTAATTCAGTGACTGAAATACGAAACTAGATCGCCCAATGTCAAGCGAAGGCTGGAAAACTCATAATGCTGAGCACTATGATCCTATGAACCCAGCACTCCTAAAACCCAGTAGGGTGGACACATGTAGGGGCTAGCTTGATGGCCTCCGCTGTACTCCAACCACCGCATGAGATCCCCTGATCGGCGATATGCATATTAAATGATATCCTGGTGGTTGGAATACATGTGATTGCGCTTCCTGCCTTTCGACGAGTCAAGTTTGAGGTGTCTCTGTGCAGTGGGTCCCAACCTCATAGCATGTATTTGTGGATATAAGGGATTATTCAATTTGCAGAACAAGCCATGTTTGTGGATTGGTGACGGTTAAAATACGAGGAAACATGAATTGCGTCTCTTCGAAATTGTCAGTTGTTTACTACTCATAGATGCTATAGATGTCGTGCCTGTAGGGAATGATCATGCTTTAGAATTAATGAGTTTTGTGGGAAGCATGAGTTGATGAACAGCAGGGAATCGTTTTCAAGTGGCTCATAAATTCTAACACTCACAACTAATCTTGATCGATACCAGTTGATAGTTCTCCCTTTCAAAAGCAAATGATGAGATGGTAATGCGACACACGATACGCTGAACCTTCTTCTGTGCAGTCGACTTTGATTTCTTCTTTTAATAAACGATGGATGCTAAAGGCTATCATCTAGACCACGGTCATTGATCGTTTCCTGGAGGTCTCCTAAAAGTGGAAACATCAACGCACTGGGATCACATCTGGATGCAGGAAAAAGGATGCCAAGAACAAAATTGCAGCATTAACCAGCCTGGACAACTTGAATTTTTTAATGAAACTGTATCTGATCCACCTACTTCTTATGTTCTCCCAGCAATGAGGCTAATTCGTCTTAAACAGCTCTGAAAGGGAAAAAATAACTCTCCATCTATAGCCCAGCATCCTTCATTCACCTACAAACATGTTTGTATTTTGACTCTGTTTCCTAGGACTAGGTTTCAGCTGAGGAAATTTTTGTGGCAGGGATATCCGGCAAGCGATGGATAAATCAAGTTAAGTTTGATATCATACGTGAACCCCTCGTACGTGAGGACTTCAGACATATCCTGAATAGTTTCTATGCAGGATCATAGATCTGACTCTTGGTCACCGACACTGTAGGATAGTTGAGAGAAACTGTAGATGGGTTTGAGAGAACAAGCTTTCACCAGGTTTGGTTTGAGTCACCGAAGCCTTGATGAACTTTGGAAAGGTTTCGCCAAATTCTTGATCATGTCTAGAATCAACTGTTTTGCCGAGAGAGGATGTCATCGAGTCGAGATGTTATTGCAGCATGCTTTTCTCCGATAGCTGATATTTCCAGCTCACATGATTCGCGGTAATTTCAGCCCAGCCCTTTTGCAGTGGCTTCAACGCAAGGAGCATATACTGTAGAGACATGCATGGTCAAGGATCGACTTGGAAATACTGTGTTCCTGGCCATTCCTCATTCAAGCTATCTGTATTTCTCAAGTTAATCGAAACAAGGAGTTGAGAGTATTCATCTAAATAAAACTAATTATGAGGATACACTTAATTATGCTGTGAAACCAATGATTTTGATCTTATCGACACAACTGGGTCTTAATTTGGTCAGCTTTATAGTCTTCTAAACTATACCACTGGCTAATTAACTATCCTGTATTAGTGACTTTCTTTCATGAAAATGTCATCACAACAACCACTGGGACTTTTGAAAGTCCTTCTTTGCTTGTGAATTGCATGCTTGCAAATGCTCTGGTCATAAAGTAATTATCTAAAGGATTAATACATTAATCACCAGCTGTTGGCTTAATGTGTTTTGTGTACACATCTAGCGCAAAGGACACTGGTATTGAGATTGAGCGATTGACATTGAAACCTTTATTGTTGCTGAGATGAGGCGGTGTATTGCGCAAATATTGACATGATAAATGATGAGTGTTTTGACATTGATACCATCACGGAGAACTGTTGTGAAAAAGGAGGGTACGGACAGTACGTGCACTTGTAACTCCAGAAATCATTGTGTTGAGTTCTATTCCACAACCTCCAGGAGCGGAAAGTACTGAAGATGCTGCTCCCTCAACAAAACTTGGCCTCAAAGATTCAAAAGTAGGACACCAACAAGTGGAGATGGGACTTCATACACTGAATAGAAACAAGCTTTAGATCCTACACCAAGCAATATGCTTCGCTTTTGAGATCAAAAGAAACTCATCAGCGGCAACAAAGAGGTTGAGGCTAGAATACACCGTAGATATTGACTACAAATTGTGTATTTTGTCTAGATGTTTGGAATACCATGGATTATTAATTTTCAAGAAACCTGTTTCTTCAACAGTTCTTGGATCTGTATTGTCAAGGAACATGTGTACTGGTTGGTACCTGCAGTGTGTAATAAACTTGTTTGGAGTCCCATTAGTGTTTGATTCGGACTGTATAATTGGACATCATCCCAATCTGCATACATTTTCTTCCATTAAATGCCTTCTCTGATAAAGCCCTAATAGAGATTACCAATAATACCCGATTGGGTGCCCCCATGTACGGGGTAATCAAGTGACAACCTATGAATACAATTATTGCATCACAGCGTAAAATCCAATCTTCATTACCACTAGAATGGTCATGGGTATTCCAGATTATTAGACAGTCGCTGCTGGAATGATTAGGTAACACCAATTCAGGATTCTAAAAATCGTTGGAATTAATTCATCATCTGTGAAAGCTGTATAGCTTGTTTAAGGCAGTAGACATTTTGCGATCTATTTTGGAACCTTAAGAAGGAAGTGAAGATCAAAGTTCCCACTTTTTATCAGACTGGAACCAGGTATCAGGGTTCAAGGACACAAGTGTCGCTTGTCTTCCTATTTTAGACATTTGACAACATTTTTTTATGCACAAGATTCAAACTCTGGGATCAATCGGAAGACTTAATCAGAGACATCAACATTTTGGCACCAACTATACAACTCATGTTGTTGGATCACCACATGAATCGTCAGAGTGAATGATCAACGTTGATACGCTGTCAAGGATTTTAAGTTGTGGAGCATTTTCTGCTCTTTGTTTTTAATATAGATCACTGAAGAAAGACAAATTGGTGATCATTTTGGAAGAATAAGTTGAAGGTGTTCATATCTTGGCAGTGAATATTTTAAGTGGCGCCATAACAGAGATTGGCAGGGAGAATCTACATGCAGGATGTTCTATATCTGTTACGCAGACAAGATTTATGCAGATTTTAGGGCTTCAAACTCGACTTTTGTTTAGAGATAGCTGGAAATTACAATTGGAATAGACAGCCGCCAAGCGTAGACTACAAATAATTGCTGAGAAATATGCAGGATCATTGCGGGTCTTCTGATGCAATTGCAGATCTGTCTATTATGCCAAACACCTTTCACTTGCTGTACATGTAGTAAGATTTGAGACTTGAAGGGTTAACGATGGCGCAGCGGTCTATGTTGAAGAAGATTGGTGAGATGGAGAGACAGAGGTGTATGTCATGGAGTGGTGCACCTGGGTGAGTAACGAAGTGTAGTCATCCTATGGCAAGACAGTTGGCCTGTCTTCATCAGCTCCAGATTGCCAAATATATCCCGTTTTTTGAACAATCCCGATCACAAATTATCCAGTTAATTTGCGTCTTCATTAGCCAGAAGTTGCAATTAGCAGGATATTTGGTTGAGATAATCATCCCAAGATATCTTGGGCTAGTTTGCAAAGTATCCCGCTATTTGGCGGGTGCACTATGCGCGAAGGCTGAGCAAAATTTCAACCAGTTTCAAGTTTTGAGGTCAAGTCTCGAGCTGATTAAGACGTGATTTGTAACTTCAGGATTATTTCCCAAATCAGAAATAGTGGGCTATTTGGCAATCTCGAGCTGATGAGGACAGTCCTATTGTATGGCCATCCTATGGCAAGACAGTAATATACATTTGCCGCTCTCCACCCAGGTGAAGTCAAGGGTGCCAGTAGGAATTTAAATAGTACCTTGATATGCTAGAGTGTTGTAATAGCAGCCATGCTAAAGCTGGGTATTAAACATTGAATCCACTGGAGTATCAAGTGTGACAGACATGAGCGCTATTCAAGAACCCACTATTATTATTATGTACCTGTGTTAAGTCTTAACAGTCTTGGAGATAAGAGTGATGGGTGGAGGCCTGGGGGAGGGGGCACAGAAGGCACATGCCCCATGAAGCTGTGACCCCACCCCCACTCCCTTTCACCATGGCCCAAATTATTTTTCCTTGAAGCCAATTCGATAACTTGTTATTATTGTTTGCTTGTAAGAGAGTTTTCTTAAAGAAATTCTTTTTAGACAAATTTGGCAAACATTGTATCTTTTATTTCCAGCGTATAAGGTAGTCTTTAAATGACTCACAGCATTTTTACATATATAATTACATGTATGAGCCTCATCGTTTAAATATAGAAGGTTATAAAACAAGGCCTCCCAGGAAATAGGAAGTTGAAGGGCACATACGATACACATAGAGTGATTGTTATAACATGAGCATTTGCGTTTACTTAATTTTTCAATTGCCTTGAAGAAGAGCGTGTATGGATGGAATATTCAATTCAAGTTTATCAGCACATTTGGTTATAACAAATTTAAGAAATACAATCAACATGTATAAAAATTCAAAAGAAACATGTACTACTCATAATGTGGTGGGAATAACAAAGGCCAGCAGGCCTTTAATTCTCAGACTAAATAAAATTATATTGTCTATTTGGAGCCTGGAGGGGATTAACTCATAGACTGTAATATAGAGTTATTGCCCTTCTGACTCTCAACAGATGATATTATAACTAGTAAAATGGTAACATATATATATGGATCGGGTTATATTTGATAGATAACAATTACTGCCATACATGTATGTTGTCTGTTTGTGGCAAGAAGGGCATTAAATGAATCCTCTGTTGAGTTATATATAGTTAATACCTTCTCACTCAAAAACAGATGATTTTCTCTGCTGAGAGCCATAAGTGGGTTAACCTGATGTAAGAGTGTAAAAGTAAATGCCCTGCTTGGTCTCGGCACACCAATCAAATTGCTCCAGCTTTGAATCGGTTGTTTACAATATCCTCAGTCTTACAGCTTAAATAGATCCATTCAAATTAACCCTTCACAAATTCGTGCCAGGAACGAATTAGGGAATTGGGACTTGATGGCAAATATCTCCCGTATTTCATTACCGCCTCGTTAATCTGTTGGAGACAGATAGCGGGCGCAGAACTCGCCCTATTGGCAGTGATCCTCCCCCTCCCTAACCCCCATCCCGGCTTTATGTCTGTCAGTGATTGCCCTCCCACGTGACATGCTAGCTTCCTAGCAAAGCCAGAGGAAAGTTAGAAAAAAGAGAGAAAAATAGGGTGTCGAATTAAATCCATGATGCTCCTCTAATAAGAAAGCTCATTGATATGAAGATGGCAGTTGGGTGGTAGATTTGTACAGCTATTTGGAGGGATTAAGGGAAGTCCTCCTTGAGGAATCTGCTTGTTTTGTGTGGGAGACTCTTCACTAATCCCTCACTCCTTGTAGTCCTGGAACGCGCGCGCTTCAAGGACCAGGGTACGAAGCAGTGATCTTTAATCATTTTCCTTGATGAAGACATCTTATTGTTACAGGAACGGAGATGACTTCAGAGATATTACATTAGTTGAGAATGTGTTTGGAATGGCTACAACCCAGGAGTGACTAGTGAATATTTCATTTGAAACTTCTGAACTTCAGTGACTTTCTAAAAGAATCTTTTGATCATTTGCCTTGGTGAAGACATCTTATTGTTACAGGAACGGAGATGACTTCAGAGATATTGTATTAGTGGAGAATGTGTTAAGAATGGCTACAACCTAGGAGTGACTTGTGATTATTTCATTTGAAACTTTTGACTTATTGTTACAGGAGCAGCGATGACTTCAGACTTCAGAGATATTGCATTGGTTGAGAATGTGTTAGGAAAGGCTATAATTAACCCAGAAGTGACTAGTGATTATTTCATTTGAAACTTCTGAACTTAAGTGACTTTCTGGAAGAAACTTTGTCTGGTGTTCTTTTCTTGTGGCATGTGTATTTATTGGAAATCTGTGCATTGATTATTTTCTTCAATAGACTCCATTGGATTTCACATACTTTACATTATTTGTCCCTCTTCAAAAATTTGTTCCTGAAATTATGATTAAGCTTGTTTCTAGGATGCATTGACGTACGTGATGACACATCGCTCAAGGACTGACAACAACAAAAGAAAATCATGAAATAAATATTGTGAAGAAATCTGTATGAAACGTTTTGGTGAAGGCCTCCCCCAAACATCATTGCTGTTGCCTGTTTCCATTTGTTGAAATTGAGTATAACTAGTCTGAGGCTAGTATTGTTTCATAGGCATAAGAGAACCCTTTCAAGATTTGTCCAAGACATCGCTTTACACATCTTCACAGCATGTGTGCATGGATCGCCTGTTGCTATTTATGGACGAAAAGGATCTGATAAACGAAGACAAACGAAATCACATTTGTTCAAAGACATCATGATCATACGCACTTGAACTTTCTTTTCTTGAAACATAATTTCATGGAACCCCTTTTTAGTGATTTTGAGCCAAAAATATTCACAGCATTCATTTTTTCCTTCTGCTTGATATTACTCAAGGTGAACATGAAACTATTTATGGATTTCTAAGATATCAGCAGGGCTGGCCAAGTACGCAGGGTTTAGAATCGCATTTTGCAAACCTTCATTGCCAAATGAAGTCATATACAATCAGGATATCATTTTCAGGAATTTGGGAGATCAATATTTCCTTGGGATACATGAAGTCACTGGATGCATAACCATTTCAAGGAGAACTTCAAGTATATTTATTTTATAAAGGTCAGGAAGTGTTCTTGGCTGTTCTTCAAACATCCCAAATTATTCATCCTGGATTATAATGACGTTGATTTGTTTTAATCAATGAAAATGCCTTGGATCTATGATCTGACCCTGCAATTCTTGAGACATACTGACAGTCCTGTTGAAATCGTGTTAGCATTGTTCAATCAACTTTTGTATTGATCAATTTTGCTAAATTTAAGGTACAAACATAAACAGACGTATAGTACAAATTTGTGGATTTATGAACTTGTGATATATGGCAAACAGATTTACTTGAAAAGAGGGCTTGAACCTTATCGAGCATGCTCGTACCAGATTAGTAGTCTTCAAGCTACATAGATTTACATCTGCATCACTGAAGACATCACCACAATCACCACCATCATTGATGTCTTATTCTCCAGGTTACCTAATCAGTGCTGCTCAAAGGATAAATCAGTCATTAATTAGACCAAACATTCTATTAAGATATGCAAACATTGCCCTTTTGATGGTCTAAGCATTGTTCCACCGACCTCTTTTTATCACTTGTACTTTATTGAAGAGACTGTTTACAGCAATCAACTGTTAACAATTTGTGGTGTCAATTTGTGGATCATTAACTTATGAGTTCAAGTGAAAATTACGATGCTGCATTGCAGCTTGAACCTCACTGTAGTGCTGGTGTTTTCTCATTGAAGTACATTGTCGTCTTCAGCACATTAGAATCAACCATATTTTCATAGATTAATAACAGTTTCAAGCAACAGGATCTAAGCTGTATTGTGTACCACTACCAGTGGTGACTAAAAAACTTGTATAGATCCTGTTAGTGTACTGTTGATGTTAAATTATTGAAATGGCGCCTACTACTAAATTTGTGCAGAAGAGAGCGATTGTTAAAAGGAGATACTACTATTCAAAAAGATATATTGGGTAAGTTAAAATAATCTAGACTGCATTAATTTCCAGTTGAAAAAAACCTCAGTTTAAAGTTTCTTCCCATGATATGGAAATATCAAGAAAAGTAATTGACTATTCACCTATTGACAATATGACTTCTTTTTGGTTGTTGTAAATTTACATTTTCATACGGTTTTTACATACTTTTCAAGTGTTTAGACATACAGAGAGTCACAAAAACCTCACTATTTGCCACATCATCAGTGTTGGCAAAATGCATAAATTTGACATTAACATTTGGTTGATGGTTGATGAGACTGTCTGCTTTGATATAAACTTTGGCATGTAATAGCATAAATCAGGCCAATAAATTCACCTTCGACCATTATCTGCTGGCAAAAGGGGTACATTTTTTCCACATTTATTTTGTATTCCTTTATTTTTTTTTTTTTTATTCTATCTTTTTTGATAAATATTCCTTGTCATGCATTGTATTTAGTACTGCCATGTGAAGTGGATACAAAACAAACTTAGAAAACTGTATATTACATGTATATTCTTTTTATAAATTTATCATATTGATGCATATTTACCTCTGGCAACTGTTGTTGTCGATGTTACATGTATGTGGTGTTTTTTTTTAATGGGCAATAGCAATACATTTGCATGTTTCAATTTGCAGCTTTCAAGAAATCAGTCAGTATTGTGGTGGGAGGAAATGCCTCTTATATCACCACCTCAGATTCAAGCTTCCTCTATAACATTGAATTGAATCAATCAATAGAATACAGGCCCTTATCTCATGCTTTAACTAGTATGGAGGCACCAGTGATCCCTTCATTGGGAACCGTTTTCACGCAGCTGCTAAGGGCAGTGAGGGGGCATGCAGTAACCAGACCCTCGATGCAGGGCGGAGCCAGAACTTGTGATGATGTGTGACTCGTGCAAAGTGCCCCCTGAGTATAAAGAGATGAAATGTTCAATTTTCATTTCGCAGTTTTATCTGTGGGTCGATATGGATTGAAAGTCACAGTAAAATGATTGATTGTGAATATAAAACATGAAACTAGCTCAAGAAGATGAATGTTTATTGATGAGAAAGTAGGAATAGACCAGTTTATTAACATATTCAAATTTGAATATGTTAGTAAACTGGTCTATATCCATAATATGGATGCTTCTTTCACGGGGACCTAGCGACGAGGTATGTTGGACAAGCCTCATGCAAGCTTTCAAATTGTCAAGAGCAACCTTTGCTTAAAAAGTATGCTTAAAATTTAATTATGTCAGTAAACTGTTCTACTAAGAAAAATGGTCCCTTTTGTATTTTATAAAGAAAAGTGTGACAGGCTGCAAGCCAACTCACTCATAGTTTTTCGGTTCAGATTCACACAATAATAAACAGATATTTTTACCTTTTTAATGTTTTAGATGTGACATACAGTGTATACCAACTTGATGGGATTACTGCTAGATCACAATTTTTTAAAACAAATTTAGTAGTATCTTATTGACTGTGTGCAAGACATCAAGTGTATCATCACACGTCATGTGGCAAAACTTATTAACATTAAAAGATGACAAGACATGAGTGCATGTACCCTCAGGCCTCACCCTACCCCTCCAACAGTAATCAAATGTCAAGTAGATACATACAGTATTGAGGGGTCAGTGACACAAAGACGTAACTCCATTTTGAGACAAATTGGTTTAAAGATAGAGGTCCACTTGGGCCTTAAGGAGTTACCGGTAAGTCATTGTTTTTCTAGCCATTGACTTCAATGGGGTGTTGGATGAAGTTAGGTCTTTGTGTTTCCTGGAAAGCCCACATTTTCCTGAACATTTTGATATCAAATACTAATTTTGGCAAAATACAGACTTACGTCTTTGTGTCACTGAACCCTCAATATATGCAGGAATGAAAAAGTAAGCCATTATAAACATTAGACCACATTTTCATGAAATATGAGGAGGAATATATAGCATTGATGTTCATATTTCCCTCTGATTCAAAAATAACTTCTTAATTTAGGATTCCTTACCCGTGACGTAAAAAATAGCAATGACTTTGCTGAGCGGCAAATTGGCAATGCCTAAAGAGACTTGGATAGAATTATGTTATTATTACTTGGAAAAATACTGTTGCAGCATATAATCAGTATTCTAAATTTGTAGCGGCATCTTGGCAATTCAAATTTCCCATGTTGAAATGTCTCAGGCTCTTATGGGTCCCATTCAAGGACCTTTGGCAAATACATTGCTTGATATCAGCCTATTTTGAGAAAGCTGAGATCAAAAGACTAGAAATTTCTTCCTTTTTTGCATTAGTTTTGCAGCATGCTTTTTACTATGTTTGGCACACGATATGGACAATAGTTGAAAGAGTAAACAGGGAAATTGATTTTGTGCATTTTCAATATTCTTGAAGGAACATAAGATATTGCTATTGTTACATTTAACATTGCCCCCCTTTATTTTGACTTGTGATTATAGGGAAAAACAAAACCTGTTGAAAGAAAATCTAAATATTTTTGTCACTTGCCATAATGTGATGCAAAAAAAGACATGAAGCAGCAACCTTTCCATCATGATACACCTCTTGAAGTACAGGTATATTCAAACACTAATCGTAACTTACTTAAGAAATGTACCCATTGTATTGTGATATACTCTATTAAAGCATTTAGTCTTTCATTATTGAATAGAAAATGCTCTCTACAGAATTTGTATCCTCCAAACAATAAATGGTGATTGAATAAATAAATAAAGCTGCATTTTCTATTCAATGATGAAAGAGTAAATGCAGATCTATTTATTTATTCAATCACTATTTATGGTTGGATAGTATATACACATTCCGTATAGAGATTTGTATGGATGTTGTGAAGATCCTTGTCGCAATGGGGCGTATAGCATGGAGGTGATGTTCAATCATGGTTCAATAAATGAAGAAGTACTCTCAATTTTACTATTGACAAAATCATTCATCGCTACAATGTAGGTCTCCACACATCCTGAATAGGAGCTTCTTTTGAATGGTCTTCCTAAGAAAGATCCCTGTCGCAATGGGGAGTATAGCATGGAGATTCTTGGTAATTTGAAACTAAACAATTTCTTTTTCAGTTTGAATGTGGTTTCACAAAGTGATCATATTCTATCTATTTTACATCAATTTTACTATTCTCTTTTTCAGTTTGAATGTGGTTTCACAAAGTGATCATATTCTATCTATTTTTACATCAATTTTACTATTGACAAAATCATTCATCGCTACAATGTAGGTCTCCACACATCCTGAATAGGAGCTTCTTTTGAATGGTCTTCCTAAGAAAGATCCCTGTCGCAATGGGGAGTATTGCATGGAGATTCTTGGTAATTTGAAACTAAACAATTTCTTTTTCAGTTTGAATGTGGTTTCACAAAGTTATCATATTCTATCTATTTTTACATTTGTAGGTTATACTAGAGAGAATCTCAATGTATGAAATACATTTTTAATAACTATTTTCTTTCTCTTTCATTTTTTCTTCCCTTTCTATCCAGTTCTGTGGCATCATTGGCAGCATTAAGGTAACTGAAATTATTATGATAGATAAATTCTGTTTTTAAATCATATCTTTATTATTTAATACTTTTAAATAATCCTGAATTGATGTCTGCATGTATGATGTTACATTTACCTGTACTGAGAGACCTTTGTAAAACCAACTGATGTATTCACTCATTAACAAAAACTGTGAAGTATGTCACTGAATGTAATAATAAATTGGAAGTTTAACTTCTGTTTTAACCTCCTTTCAAAATATTCCTCTCCCAAATGCTCTATTTTTATTAATCATTTTACTGTTGTTTTGTAGTGTGTGGCAATGATTAAATATTCTAACAATGCAGAGATTTCATTTGGAAAATTAGATCCCTTTAAAGGGGGAGTCCTCCCTGATATTAAGTTGGTTTTAATAAAAGCAGAGAAACAAGAGAAACAGATTAGTGAAAGTTTGATCAAAATCTGAATAGATAGAGGAAAGTTATGAATTGTTGAAGTTGTCATTAGTGAGACACAAATAGGCAACATTGTAACGTATCATGCAAGCTCCTCTCCAATTTGCTCTGTTCATAAATTGTCATTCCTTTAGTTATTAATGATGGAATAGATTGTTTATCCATACAGGGAATGCATAGAAATATACAAGAAATATTTAAGGTGCGTGTTCATGTATGATTGAAAAATTTCTTGAGGGAAAATCAAACTTTCTGAATTGTTTTAGTACAGTACTACAGTGTGTGAAAATCACTGTCTCTCTGTGCTAAAATCTGGCAGAAATTGTATCAGATGCAAAGCATATCCAGCTGTTATTGAGCTAGGGATTGCGTAGGGTCATGGTCAAGAGGATAGAATCTAGTCAGGTGATATCCTTTCACCGTGTGACAGTAATTTGTTCCATTTTCTTTAGTTTTTTAAAACTTTCAGAGTTTCAGTAGTGGTTTCATGTTAAAAGTTTCAATAAATCACCTTTTCAATCCCTGTCCGCGAACCCTCTGCCCCTTCTTTCTCTCCAACTCTCTCTCTCTCTCTCTCCCCCTTTTCTCTCTCTCTCTCCCTTTCACGGACAATGAAATAGAAAATTGTCATCTTGTGTCCTTTCATGTGACAGTTTATCTCTAATATGTTTATTTTGTTTCAGTGATTGTTTCATTTCCAAAGGTTTTAACACACTGCCATCTCAATCACTGTCCCTCGACCGCCTCCTTTATTGTTTGCCTTATTTGGGACAATATCCATCTAACTAACAATTTTTTAAACTACAGTTTAATACTGTGTTTACAATAGAATCTTGTTTGGTGCATCTTACATTTCATGTACTCTTCTTGTGTCCTGATAACTGATTACCAATCCATTAAAGGCAACAAGACAGCCTTGTCAAATTTATAAATGCAAAGATATTTGATCCCAATTGATGATACAGATTTTATATTCCTTTCCTACTTCTGTACATGATATCTCTTCTGCTCACAATAATAAAATGCCTTCTTTCTGTGCATATACTCTTCAAATACTCAATCTTCAGGCTTGATAAATATATGATGCTGGGTTAACAGTGCTTAGAAACATTAATATTTAGCACTATGTTAAATGTTGTTGTTGTGATTGTTATTATTTTTATTATCACTATTATTATCATTATTATCATCATTATTATCATTATCATTATTATTATTAAATTGTATAATATTTGAGTAATATATTCTGTCAGCTCAGCATATCATCTGTTGAGAACCAAAAGGTGATAATTCTGTGTTAAAAATATATCGCACCTTCTGGCCCTCAATATTAAATATTTTTGTGCCAAGCCATTGCATAATGGGAAACACAAGGCTAGGTAAAAAAGGCCTTGATGTTTAATCATCCCATTGTATTACACTTTCCATTGTTCCATCATGACAAAATATCCAAATCTATTTTAGGTACATATATCATTAAAGTATGTGTACTAGTTTAATAGTGACTTGAGTTTAGATTGATGCATGCAAAAGCCCCATTGACAACTATCTACCGTATTAACTTTTTTTTTTCTTTTTTCGATGCAACTTAATATGATAAAACAATTCTCACATCACACTAATTTTCCTCTTTTCTATCAGCACATCTTCATTTGTATGTTCTGTTTTTGTTTGTACCGGTAACTGTTTGCTTTAAAAAAAAATATTTCTTCTGATTTCCGTATTAAATGTCCCTTCCTTTATATTTTATATCAAGATAGATTCCTATCAGATTCCCCTACTTAGTTCTTTTAATTATTGTGTTTGTCTTCTTGATCTTTATTGATGTGCCATTGGAGTATGATATCTTTCTCACTTTGTCACTTAAGCATTCTCTCTCTCTCTCTCTCTCTCTCTCAATATCGATCTCTCAATGAATGGATGTACATGTAGATCAATCGTTCTATTTGACTAAAAATCATTTCTTCCGCTCTCATTCCTTGTCTGTCTTTATACAGTACCGTCTCTCTTTTCTTTTTGTTACATCTATATTGATATCTTCCTCTCTCTCTCTCTCTCTCTCTCTCTCTCTCTCATTGATCACTGTTTCTTAATTCTTGGAATCCTTACATAGTTACGTTGCTACACTCTATTGCCCAAACATGTGCCTTAAATACAGATCCATGCCATACTTGTATTATATGGGAGGACATATTAAGGAAGCATGACTAATTAGTCGAGGGAGGTACATGTTCAATCAAAGTCCTATCATTCACTAGATTAACTTGATCGCTCTCTTCACCTCTAGGCATTCTTCTATCCCTTAATACAAACCTTGAAGTAGCCTCGTCTTGTTTTTGAGCGATCAAACAGCTGGCTGTACAGATCTTTACACGCAAATGAAAGATTTTGATTTGATATTATAAAGTATGTGATGATGAAACTTTTTTTCTTAATGTTGACACATTCAGAATAAGAAATATTCAGAAAATTACATAAATAAACGTTTTATATATTTTTTTAATTTGGTTTTATTATTTTATTTGGCAGAAAACACATGATATGAAAATACAGAAATGAAAATAATAAATTAATCGCAAATCACACAAAAATACATGAACACTGTGGCCAGCCGGCTGTGCTGCCAGGCCTTGGTTGGGCAAAGTTAACCAAATAACTGTATTACACAGACCGCCCTCACCTACATGTATATCCCAACCAGATGTAAACCAGTGTTGCAGATTTTTGTGACAAAGACAATCTAGAGATACATGTATCAAATTCACATAATTTATTTTAAAAGTCTTTCTTTTACTCATTCATTTTATTTTAGACTGTTGTGTGTACATGACACAAAATATGCAGAAGTTATTAAATATATTCTCTCTCTCTCTCTCCCTTGCTCTCTTGTCTTTTTTGTATCTAGGGGGAAACGACTACGCAAGTATTCTGAAACAGATGCCTCTTGCGAGAGACTGTCTGGTTCTATCAAATCAGAAGGCAGGTCTAGTCAACTCTACACTAAGGTAAATATTTAATAAGAGTTGGTGTTGTGGTCTAGGAGAGTCTCTGGACTGTGAACCACAAGGTACAGGGTTCAAATCCCACCAGGGCAAATAATCTACACTAAGGTAGATATTCAACCGGTAGAGATTCAATTAGAGTGGGTGTTGTGGTCTAGGGGAGTCGCTGGACTGTGAACCACAAGGTATGGGGTTCAAATCACACCAGGGCAATTAATCTACGCTAAGGAAGATATTCAATTAGAGTGGGTGTTGTGGTCTAAGGGATAAGTCTCTGGACTGTGAGCCACATGGTACGGGTCCACACCTCACCGTTCTTTGCCAAGATATTAATCTACATTTGCCACACTCGACTCGGGTGTAGTAAGTGGGTACCTGGTAGAATTCATTCGTTGAATTGTTATATCCAAAGCCCTTTGGAAGCGCATAGAGTCATTAGATCATAATGTGATATGCGCTATACAAGAATAGAATATTATTATCAATTCAATTCAACGTTTATTACTTATTACATAATATACTATTTACATCATACATAAAATCTTCTTCTTTTTCTTTTTTTTTTGCGACTATTTCCATGTCATTTCTGAACAAGCCCTCATTCATAAAACAGAAAGGCCTAAAAATCCCTTTCCATTTATACTTTTTCTTGATTTCTCCAAAAGACTTGTTAAAAAATAAAAGTTACTGTCATAACGTCTTTTTCCCCTTTTGTATATTTTCACAAGATTTCTGTATTCGGTTATTTTCAATACTTAAAGCCTGTCTACGCTACTTTGGCCAGGAGGGATTAGACCTCCCTGCATGGTCACTGACAGGTGGTTATCTCATCAAATCAGCTCTCAATTAACATAAGAAAAAGGGGACCATGGGGGACCAATGGTCACCACTTAGGCATTGTTTGCTATACAGAGGGCGCGAGTAGCTATACGCAGTGCAGTGGGGCTTTAATGTGTTATATTGACTTTATATCGTGCATACACGTAGCCCAAAATTCAGATATTAGGGGCTGTTTTTGGCAAGCTGCACAATCTTCTTTCTTCATTCATAAAACAGCAAGGGAGGAGGATTATAATGTCTTTTCACTCCTCTGAATATCCGCTACTATACTTGCCACCTGCATTGGATCAAAATATTTCAGAAATTTCTTAACTGAAATATTAAAAAACCAGACAAAGTTTTTCAAAACAACATGTCAACAGAGATATTTATAGCACACGTGTAGAAAGCCAGGAGATACATGTTTTTGTGTTATGCGCGACAAATTAAGATGTGAAAGCAAGTGAGAAAAACAAGTTAAAACCATGGATTTCCTATATGATTCATAGATGGGATACTTTCCTCTTCATTAGGCCTGCCTTCATCAGCTTGAGTTTGCCAAATAACCCGCTATTTTAACTATCCCGATCGCAAGTTATCCAGCTAATTTTCGTCCTCATCAGCCCGCAGTTGCAATTAGCGGGATATTTGGTCGAGAAAATATCCCGAGATATCTTGGTCTTATTTCCTTAATATCCTGCTATTTGGGAAATAGTGGGCTAATTTGCGCTCGTCCGAGCTAGTTTGTGATGAGCGTATCAGTCTGGTGAAGACGCAATTTCGAGCTTCGGGATAGTATTCTGAGTCTGGAAATAGCGGGTTATTTGGCAAACTTGAGCTGATGAGGACAGGCCTATAAGAGTGGGTGGATAGAAAATTGTGGAGGTATCTCCAGGTGGTGTAAATCTAGGTTTTAAAGACACGTTCCGCGTTAATTGATTATACCAAAGACAGGAAGAGAGAGAGAGAGAGAGATGAAGAGAAAAAGACAGACTGACAGACAGGCAGATTAAGGGGAGGGGGGGGGGGAGGGAGGAAAGAAAGAGAGGGAGAGTAGTAGGCAAATATGTATTTATAAATTTTCATTACATGTACATAGCGGTGCGGTCTCTCAAAAATTTCATCTCAAATTTTTTTCACTTTTAAGCCTTAAATTTTATTAAATTCTTAGCTTGAATTTTAACATTTTCCAACTCCAAACGAAATGGATATTGGAATACCTGGTAATAGTGATTACTGTACATTATAGGTACATAAAAACTTTTCATCAACTTTTTCAACAAATGTCATACTTACCAGACGTTTGAAAAAAATGCCCATTGTAAATTCGTAATTTTCTAGGGAGGAATTAAAAATACTATCTCTTATAATTGGAATTGAGTTGATAATCTGAACAGTCAAGATTATTTCTAATAGGATATCCTACCTTAAGTCAAATAAAAACCAAGCCTGTTGTTAGGTAACCATTTTATTCACTTATACCAATAGACCATGCATTAAATCACTTACAATCAGGGCTTGTGGTATTTTAAGGGTTAACAAACTCATTCAGCTTAAGTGAGTAGACAGAATTTGGGTTGAACCGTCATGAGGTATAGATGTAGGTCAAACGCTAATGCAATAATTGTCGTTAAACGATAGCTACGGCTTCAGGATTCGGATGTAAACACATTCATATATAGCCTACCTGTAACACGAGATGATCTGCATAGAGATCAAGGAGGATTTCTGGTGAGGAGGGTGTATCCAATAAGATTTAGAAAAGGGCAGATCAATGAACGAATATGTCCTGAGCCATACGTTAATAGATCAGGTAGAGTATTCTGGGGTTAGTTTAGTTGGCAGGGTTAAGGGGTGTATCCAATAATAGAAAGGGCAGAGATACACCGACATAATGATGGAATACTGTAGGTCCTGCATCAGTATTAATTGTGCCCTGAGAATAAATATTTCATGATCATCTATTGTTACCTCTTTAGATGTTGGTGAAGTAAACAGGTAGCATCAATAATTACAATAATTCAATAAATATGAATGCACTAACCGTACACAAGCTTTGTAGTCCTATTGCCCTATTACATTGCAATACTGCATGTACAGCCTGTAGTATGAGTCTAAATTACTTTTACATGTATAACTATTCACAACTTTCAATCTTTGAGTAAATATGAATACATTTTCCATGTGCACGTACTCGTTTTCCTGTTGTTCTACGTGGCATTTCTACTTGAAGTCATGAGTCTAAATTACAAGTAGGAACAACTTTTCAATCTTTAAATAGATATGAATACATTTTCCATACACGTACTCCGTCATCATGCTGCTCTATGAGGCATTGCTGCATGGCGTAGTGAGTCTAAATCAAAAAGTAGGAACCAATTTTCAATCTTTCAACGAATATGAATACATTTTTCATGTATTTCTGTTGCCGCTCTACACAGCATTACCATGATGTGAAGTCTATGTCTAAATCTATGCGCGGGTAGACATAATACTCGTTACTCACTGTCTCTATAAATAGAGGCGTGTTATTGAATAAACATGGTTCCTAAACCCCCGTGATGATACGCGCAAGCTGGCCCAAAAGAGCTGTCATAATTTAACACGTTTCCTGTCTCGCATACTAGCTCTTTCCCTTGCTTGCTCATAAGTTACAAGTCATCAGTTAACAGTCCGTCTTTTGACTCTGTCACAGGAATCATGAACTCTGTGTGATACACTTAAGTCCCTCAAATGAACCCCCCTCCCCCCTCCCCATCCCCCACACACACACACGCACATCCACACATTTGCATACATATTTTTGTGGGGAGGGGGGCTAGTGTAAGGGGGTCAAGGGTACTTTCATATCGATTAGTTGCCCCTTGTACAAGGAGATGAAGAACATAACACAATGCCTCAGTAAGTTTTACAGAGCCTAAAAGTTACATTTGTGCAAAAGTTTTTCATGCTTCAGATATTTTTCAAACTCAGCTATTAAACTATTAAAAGAGTTATGTAAAACTTTGCATTTATTAAACTTTAGATTAGATTGCATATTACATGTATTTCCAAAAATTATTCCAGCAACAACAACAATTGTATACATGCCAAATTCAAGCTTAGAAATAGATGGCACTTTGAAATTATTTTGAGGGAAGAAAAAGTACCATTTGGTCACTGAATGTTAAGCTGTATTGAACAAAATCAATTAAAACTAATACTAATACATTTCATTGTAGTAGGTCTAGTAAAAGTATTGTAACACCCTAATAATTTTCAATATAGAAATATCACATTTTTCAAACTGCTTATAAAATATGAAAACTTTGCATTTGTGAAATTTAGATTAAATTAGTTTTTTCAAAGATTATTGTACCAACAAAAAATAAACGTTAGCGAAGAAATAAGTGGCACAATTCAGTTACTGTAAAGGAAGAAAAGATTGATTTGGTCATTGAATGTCATCTCGACATGAAACAAACTCGACTCAAACTAAAACTGCTACATTTCCCAGCAGTAGGTCTAGTAAAAGTGTTGGTGCACCTCAATAATTCTTGATAAAGAGTTACCACATTATTCAAACTGCTAATGTTGATGTTCTTGTAATTTCTTGCAGGTTCCACTCACGCCGTTAGCTGTAGACGACAATGAGGACTACAACTTTAAAAGACAAGCTAGTGTGCGGATCAAAAAGATGACATCGTAAGTAGGCATTCTATCATATCACTAGGATATTGTAAATGCATTTTGTTGACATTTATATGTGCATAAACTTTCACAAAGTTTATTCATGATTACCTCAAAGTCTAAAACCTGGGAGCTTGACTTAGAAGGGATCTAGTAACATTGTCCAAATCCACAAAACTTCATTAGAAATCTTATGGTTCTCTCATACTTTTTTTGATATTTATTACGTATAGAAGCGTGGAACAGGTTTTGGTTTTTCGAATTTCCCTTTCTTTAGAGAGATATTTATGATTTAAGTGTTCAGATTTTTAACTATCCGCTTGATTGTTAAACTACAGTATGTACCTGTATAAAGTCAGTGCAATGAGTTAGCAAATATCACATTGCATTTTCACCCATTACTTGGCTATGTAACATCCATTGAACGTGACATTTTCTCACAACACTCAGAGGACTTATCAGATCACAAAACTACACGTAATACCAACCATTCATCACTTTCTGCACATGCCAACAAAGTTACTAGATCCCTTTAAGTTTTTGAATTGTCATAAGAACACAGCCATTATGATGCCAGAGGCCCCCTTCCTGTTCTTCGGTTCATGTAAAGCTCAAACCAACCAAAATGTTTTCTTCTTTCTTGACTTGGCCCAGACGTGACACTGGGCGCGTCTTCATCATCTCGAGATTGCCAAATAGCCCGCTATTCTGATTTGGGAAAAAATTCCAAAGTTACAAATCGCGTCTTCATCAGCTCGAGATTCTACCTCAAAACTTGAAACTTGACCTTGAGAAATTAGCTTGAGATATTTTGCTCAGCATTCACGCATAGTGTGAGTCTTCGGTCTGGTGAAGACGCACCGGACAAATAGCGGGATATTTTGCAAACTATCCCAATATATCTTGGGATGACAATCCCGACCAAATATCCCGCAAATTGCAACTTCGGGCTGATGAAGACGCAATTTAGCTGGATAGTTTGCGATCGAGATAGTTGAAATAGCGGGATATATGGCAATCTCGAGCTAGTGAAGACAGGCCTACTGGGATGGTGGCCTCTCTACTGTGTGTGAGATAACAACATGATGAAAGCATCCCCAAACATGTTGATGTTTTGACTATGAAAGATAATTTGTGAATGATTGGCTATGGAAAGAGTGGAATGACGTTAAACAGATTGTTGACAACTTCTATTTTTCTTCTCCCTCTCCCGTTTCCTCTCCGCCCCTCTCTTCCCCCCCCCCCCCCCTCTCCTGTTCCCTCTCCGTCCCCCGCCCCCCTCTCTCTCTCTCTCTCTCTCTTTCTCCCTCCCTCTCTCCTCTCCCCTTCTCTCTCTCTCTCTCTCCCTCCCTCTCCCCATCCTCTCTGTCCCTCTCTCCCTCTCCCCCTCTCCCTCTCCCCCTCCCTCTCTGTCCCTCTGTCCCTCTCCCCCTCTCCCTCTCCCCCTCCCTCTCTCTCTCTTTCTTTCTCTGTCTCTCTCATACACATATTCTCTGCCTCTATCTCTTTCCTTTTCACCTGATCCCACTTTCCCATCTCCCTCTTCTGTTGCAAACTTTGCATTCATTCATTCATTCATTCAATCAATGTGGTTTGTCAAAAACATTGCTGTCATAGACCAAAGGAAAAATTCTGTTTATTTTGTATTGTAAAATACAGTACATTTTCTATTCTGTAATATATACTGTCCTTAAAATGTTCCTCATCCTTTTTTCTTTTTTTTCTTTTTGGATTTGTTGTTTACAGATGCCATGATGGGTCTAGTCTCTTCCCCAAACTCAACGACTGCGCACATTTCCACTACGATCATGTCGAGCTGGGAGCCGTACAGGTTGGTCAAAATCCCATGTGAAGTTTAGTCTTGATAAAACCACCATCCTTATGAGTACATGTATTTCACCCCCCATTTGCCTTTTAAGTTTCCTTATTCATTACACCGACGGGAAATTATATTTGGTTTCTTTATAGGCTTTGCAAATGGGATTGAATTTGGGTATTCTTCTGCTCAACAGATGGGGTTCACTTCATGGGACAACCTGATGATGTTCTGTACCCATTTACTCCTTTAAAAATACCTGTAGAAGAAATTGTTAAGTTATTAATCGGAAGAGGTGACATCCTGTGGATACCTCTTCCGAATGGTTCGCGGTTCTTTATGATGCAAAGATCAGTGAGAAGCCCAGTCTCCATTTCTGATTTTTTTTTTTTTTCTTTTCTTTTCTTTTCTTTTTTAGAAAAATGAGTAGGTTTCCTCATTATTGATATAAAAACTAAAAGAGGAAGTAGGAAATTTATATTCAAGCCCAAATCCAAATATGATCAAATGATATGGTAATGTGATTTTGCCTATTCCAATTCTGTCACACTGATATGCATTTGACAGTAATGCTGCAAAACTGGGTTTATATGTATTGTGCTACTTTTTTTAAAACTGGCACGAAGCCGTAATTTGATCGAATGTGAGCGTTTGATCAGCTGTAATAAACAGTGGATAAATTCCTTCATGCATTTGATGTTAGCGATGACCATCTGTTTTAGCATTGCTGTCAGTAGAGTATTACATTTTGCCAAATATGGACTGAAATAAACCTCGTGGATTTATGGAATTATTCTTCATCGGATAATTAACGTGAATTTAAATTTACCACAAAAAGAGGTACAATGATATGTCAGAATGAAATCCCCTGAATTTTTAATGGAACTTTTCTTTTCTGTCTATCTCGACATAGATATCCATGCATGAAGAGTCGGACGACCGTACCATTGTGGAGCAGAACGGGGGTGCAGTCGATCTCCTGGATTGCCCGTTCACCCTCAAAATGCAGAGCCAGGGCAAAGTCTGGCTTCTCAAGCGGTGCTATGAAGACTTCAGGGTGCTCGACAAGCAGCTACACAAATGCATCTACGACAGGCGCTTCAGCCAGTTGGTGGAATTACCCAAAGGAGAGACCCTCACGGGCAGAGAGGTGCACACCCCCATATTTTATAATGGTTGCATCCACATGGCCAGGCCTTGTTAGGGGGTCAATAGACTTTTTCATCATTAGGGAATCTACATGTATACATAGAGTACAAATACTTAACATTGGAGGGAAATGAGAATTGATACAATATGATAATAATAATAGTGTAAACTCATAGAGTGCACACACCATCAAGAGCAGCTCATGGTGCTAGCTCAGCAACAGTTCTCTTTAATACATGTACAAGTAAAGTAAATGTTTATTTGATATTAGAGTTACACGATCAGAAACTCAAAAACAACTTTGCAACATTTGTATTACCCATTTCAATCCTCAGAAACAGCAAAAATGCAAAGTTTGAAAACGTGTTATAGATTTAGAGATGAGTATTTTGCTACGATATTTCCCTCTGGGTCGTTATGTAGTAGTTTGAGAGATAAATTCCCTGCCGAGAAGACAAAGAAGCTGCGTTAAAAAATGGAAGGTATTGTGTAGACACTTGTTTCTCCTTCTCAGTTCTGTGTTTCGATCAACAACAAGATGGTTACACTCGTATTTCAGTTTCATTTTAAGTGTGAAATTACCAGGTTGCTAAATTTAGATAGAGCTGCAAAAGTAATTAAATGGTATCATATCATTGTTTACTTTTTTTCTGGCAACCCTAGTAGAAAAACTAAACAAAATAATTTCAAATGAAATTGATTCATAATGTAATTACCATAATCAATAAAATTTTGACCTAACTAGTTTCAGATGTGATCAGGCATTATTTATATTGGAGAATTTGGATTTATCTACCTTGTCTTATTGAATATAAAATCAAAGACAAGGAGATATGTCCATACTCCATGTACAACACAAAATGGCTGTTCTTTATTTATACTTAATAATGATATTAATAATGATAATGAATTATAATAACGATACAGTGCTTTTTATCGGCATATCACTGGCTTATAGCGTCTCTATGCACTTTATAGGAAGGAAGATATGAAGGGGAGAAATAGGTGCTGTATAAGCAAGAATGTTACTCAGTCGAAGTGTTGTTTAATACCAGAATGGTGTCAATTCCCCATGAAAACCCAGTTCTCTGCATTTTTAAGATCATCACTTACAAAAATGTAGCCAATTTTCACGACAATGAATTGATTACATTTTCTGACTTTTTTTCTTTTGTACCAGGCTGTCAAAACGATGCTGACCCACTACGTGACCCGGTTCTCACAGATCGCTGGAGATATGATCAACTGCGGTCCTGTACTCAATTGGCTTGAGGTAAACAAACAAATAAACAAACAAACAAACAAACAAACAAACAAACAAACTAGTAAACATCAGTTTCATACACGTGTAAGTACATGTATGGCAATTTGAAAATAGCATGAATAAAATATTTAAAAATTGCTTTAAAAAATATTTGATTTAATTTTCTGTTGTATGAAACAAAATAAAATCAAGGCTCTAACTAGAATGAAAATACTACTTGAGCACTAGCAAAACTAAAACTTTTATGATTTCCTTGCATGATCAGATGGATTTATAGATCTATAGTGAACACAATGAAATAGGAGTATTTGTACATAATTATGTACAATTATAAAGTAGAAGGCAGCTTTTTTTTTCTTGCTTTTTTTTGGCAATCATTCTTGCAGGTGAGCTTTTTTATGTAGGTTTTTATTTTTATAACAAGACAGTTGTTGTTGTAAAACATCTTTTAATCCAAAATGTAAGTTTGGTGTATTCTTATTTAGTGTGTTCGGTAGTATAGTGCTTTTAATGGTGTTTGTGCTTGTAGCCTAGCTTCAATATATCTTTATTCTTATGGAAACACAAATTTATTTAAAATTCTGTAATAGTTACATTTACACGTGTCTGACAAAAACAATTGCAGTAGTTAAATGGGGAAATGATTGATTTTTTTTTTCTTTTAGAGCAGATAACTCATAACTAACTTGTCTTGTTAATGACATACTTATGAAATACTTTATAAAAATCCCTTATATATAAATGATACGCTTGAATTTTGTAGCAGATCTAATTTCAGTGTTCCGACATTTGCTCCTGCAAAACCTGCTCTGGGCTTATTTTTGTCAAAATTGTAGGGTAACCATTTAGGGTAAGTGAAGAGTTAGGTTGAAGTTTGGACTTCAGGTATTGTAGGAAGTATCGTGGAGCAGTTGTCGGAGGAGCAAGTGTCGTACAACCGTAATTTCTGCCAGTTTGGAGTTTATAACAGATGATCATTTTTATCTCTACCTTTCTCTTTCCATTATTCCACATGCCTGCCCTATCACCAACTCTAATCCTGCCCCTACTGGTGGCTATTACTCCTGTTTCACCCCTATTTTGTACCCCACGCACCCCTTTTTATGTACCCCATGCACCTCCATGTTATACATTAACCCCCTCTCCTGTACCCCTTGTGCCCCCTTTATTACATATTACCCATTCTAACCCTGCCCCTACTGGTGGCTATTACCCCCATTTCACCCCCTTCCTGAATCCTTTGTGCCCCCTTGTTTCACATCCTTATGACACATTACCGGTATAATAATCCCATCCCCCAAATCTGTTTCACCCCCTTCTTGTACCCCATGTGACCCCCCTTACCCCCCCCCCCCTTGTTACACAATACCTATGTGATAACCCCTAACCCCTACCCCCACCTGTTCTAACTTCATGTGTACCCCTTATGTCTACCCTTCTACACACCATTTGCCTGCCCGTGTGTCACACTGTGTATCACTTTGTTTTGCCTGTTTCAGATTGATAACATTGGTTGTCACATCGAGGTAAAGAAACGTTGCTTTTTCCATGTATGATTTTTTTTTTGTAGCATTCATTCGTTACCTTCCCAGGCATACATTGAACATGCTAACTTCTGCACATGTATATATCCATAGCCCTTCTTCTTTTAATAGACATTCACATATGAATATGATTTTCATCATTCAATAGAGTATACTTATGTACAGTATTTCTTGAACCCATCTCCCGTATCTGAACACCCTGGTCTACTTTTGTGTATGAATATTCGAAATTCCCAAGTTTTTCACTCAAGTCGCAGCTAAAATGAAATCTACTTTTGATATCAAACATGTCGAGCTATGAAGAATATTCACGCAAAGCTTCAATTCATTATGCTATGGAAATCATTTTGATAAAAATCAAATCACCTTACAATGATCTGTACCCATCATCAATTCACAAAATGTCACCGCAATTTTGGCTTATTTCATTTTACAAATGCAGATAATTGATCATTCATCGTCATGATCATTTTTTTGTTTTCTGTCATGAGCTAGAGATGGTAAAAGCTATGTCATTGAAATACAGTGAGGAGGCAAGTTGTCTCAGTCTGTAATACATCTACCTGTCAAACCAACAGTTATGGGTTTGAATCCCACCCAGGCGGATGACTGAAGCCTATGTTATGTGTTAAAACTCTGTCCTTTGGGTAGGGCGTTAAATGGAGGCCCCATGTAGAGGAGAGTCACCACCTGTGCAAGTTCTCATGTAATTTCAGTATTAAATGAATACCGTAGATAGATTTAGCTCAGAAACGAGTGGTTGGTTATTATAGTGATTCCTCCTCCACCTGTCATTTATGCTTTGTCATTACATCAACAAATTCTAATTCATTTTGACTAGTTACCGGTATTTTGTATTTTCTTCTTTCATTTATAACCCTCCTTCATGAGGAAACAATGAATTGGCCTCTCCTTTATGAAATACTACTACTGTGGAATGAACTGCACTTCAGTTAGGTCCCCAAAATGTAGGAAATATGTATAGCTTCTCCAAAACATTCCCACACTACATAAAGCTATGGTAGGTCACTCTTTAAGGTAATAGACTGACTTTCATGATTGGTCATAGTCTCTATTTGTAGGGGAAGGTTCTTACTTGATCATCTCAATCATCAGTCTGCATTTAAAGCACCCACCTTGTGCAAGGTTCACCCAAAATAAACAGAGCATCTTTTACCAAGGACTTCCGGTTGGTCACTGAAGTCTAGAGACTGTGTTCATACATGATGATTAAACATTGAGATTCAAGTTATCTGTCATTATGTAACAGAAAGAAATTTGATTTCAGTATGAATGTGTACAAGGGTTAAAGGCAATTTAATAAATGATAAGAAGGGCAGATTGAGCTTTTTACTTTTGCTTTAGGTTACAATCAAAATCCCCTGGTCGATCTGTGTCATCTCAAAATTAATCTGCTCCAAACTGAACAATTCTGACACTACTTTAAAAACAATTGCCTAACAGACCATGATTGTGTGAAATCTTTTGGTTGGGTTGGTTGTTGAAGTGTTGAGAAAAATGCAATCAAAACATTGAACCAAACCCTTCAATGTGAACAAGATATGAACACACTTCTAGACTTGGGGTCCTATTTTGTGTTCAGTGATAGTCATGGCATGGATGGCTAATATGTTGAAGGGGCAAACTAAAATCATCTGTGAAACGTTGAACCAAACACTCTTCCATCTCAATATGAATACACTCCTAGACTGGGTGTCCTAATTATTGTTCAATATCTCTTGGGATCCTTCTTACAGAGTGTCATATGCAGTGGCTAATTGACCGCCCACAGGAACTCCTAATTTCCTTGCGACCCGTCGCTATCTGACCGAACCCTCGCGCTCTCATCCCTCTTTTTAAAACCCCTCGTAATTCTTGATCGGTAACATGAGATTTCAGCTTCAAGTTCTCAACTTGGCAGTAATTTTGTTTCTCTTTAGCTTGAAAATGAAAGAGTCTTGGCCAGAGATGATGGGAAAGTAAGGAGGGAAGGAGACTACTATCTATCTGTCCCGGTATCTTCTATCTTCTCCCAGCTCAGAGGTTGATTGAAACATTTTTGTCCACACATCTCTATCATCTGCCATCCTAGTACACTTGCAGTGTCATTCCACTCCAGGCTCCCATTGCTCAAAACTTACCATTGATGGTAAGGTTGCCAACTTGGCAACTACCATGGTAACAGGGCTCAACGGCCAATCAAAATCAAGGTTTCCATTGTAGTTACCATTGATGGCAAAGTTACCATCAATTGTAAGTTTTGTGCAATGGGCCCAGGGTCTTTATGTTCTACTACCAGTTGGTTCTTGGTTTCCCTCTTGGTCTAGTACCTTCCCCTTTTCCTTCCAACAAATCTTTCAAGAGACTCTGATGTCTTTTAATATGACCAAAATATTTGTTTAAGCCCTTCCTACATGTGATATTTCTCTAATAGTTTTCAAATCTTTCCATGATTTTCTCATTATTCTCCTGTACACCCGAATTTCAAATGATGTGATTTTTTTTCTTCTTCAAACTACAGTATGTTACAATTTTTTGTCATGGGAAAGAGGGTCAATTTATGATTGTTATTATCTACAAGTCCTTTGGATAGGACTCAAAGTTGTAAATATGTATGTATGTCAATGCCCATGTCCATCTACATCTCCTATACCATCAAATAGTGAAATAGATATCAACATACATTGTGCAGAAGTTAGCGAAGTTCAACTCCCATACCCGAAAGCATCGTCATGGCATCATATCGCTGTTTGTTTATTCATTCTTCTCACTTCTTGTTCTGTTGTAGTCCCTATCTTCTCCCTTAGCCTCATATTTTCATATTCTGGCATGCTAGTGTGCATGCTATACCTTTTCATAAGTATTTGTGTTGATGTAAATCTAGTGTGATCTGCAATACACAGAACATATTCAGTGGGACTGCATGAAATGCAGTTGTCAGCCCCTCTACCATTTACATGTACAGTATATGTACATGTTTACAGCTTCATACTTTTTGTAGGAAATGGTTTATTATTCTTGTTAGACTGGTGCTCTTTTGCCAAAGTTATTCAATCTGAATAGGAATCAGATTTTTATCATTTTTAGGTGACCATGTCAAAAATGTGCTAATCAATTAAGATATTTATATTTAATCTTTCTTGTTTATGACCATTGAAGAAGCTAGTGCCCAATTTGTAGGTAAATAAAAGGGTTTATAGTAAAATCCTGATAAAAGAGTAGTTTTGGTACACTATATTTATGTAGCTCCTTTTTTATGTTACTGGGCCAACAATACATTATTTTCACCCAAATTCATACAATGCGATAAAACATTACAAAACTTATTTAAGAAAAATGAGTACCGTTGTGTCAAATTTAATAGTATTTAGCTTTATAGTTCAACCGTAACGTAATGGATTTAATAACCTTAATATGTTGGTATTTTTTTCATTGCAATAGTGCAAATATTATTGTTCTACCAGCTCTTTGTGATGAAGTGAAACATCCAATTTCCATTTTGATTATTCAATGAACCATCACAGAGTTATGGATTTTATTCAGTAATTTTGTTTCGAAAAACAAACAAATTAACAAAGTAGGTGAAGAATGTGTAATAGGCTCTTTGCTCATTTACAATTAATTAAAAGTCTGATAATTAAAGGACTTTTAATCTTATATGTTTTTTTTTTAAGTATTTCAATCATATAATCTATTTCCAAGCTGAAAGGATTTGTGTCTGTAGTTTATGCTTTACATCAAATGCTTTTTATTTCCTGTAGAATTGCAGCTGTTTATTGAAAAAGATAGACTTAAATGTATTAATTGAAATTAGCATATTTGTTGTACATATAAATTGTTTCGATAACCAGCTGAATAATCATAATTCAAAGGCTATAGTAAAAGATAAATGTTACTGTAGATATAGGTTGCTATTTGTATACTTTGCAATTATTTCTTTTACCTTACTCAAAGGCCTATTTAGTTCTAAACATATATGTTGACAAAAAATTGTAGATGTATATGTTTGATATCTGTAGATTATGTTCAAGCTGTATACTTGTCAAGTCATTAATGTGTTGGAAATGTATCAGTTGGAAGTGAAAAAGGAGAAAAATGTATGTTTAATATTGATAGATTTATTAATCTACAGATATACTTGTGTGCAAGTTAAGTTTTAATGAGTGCTTTTGTTTCATGTGGGTTGTGGAGGTCTTAAGACTTTCAATCAGCTGTCAGTTGCCCATTCTCACAGCTAAGCAGACTCCAAGCCCTTTGTGGCATGGGGGCTTGATCACGGGGGCATTACTACACCTCTCTAATGCCCTCTGGGATTAACTAGGCGATAGTCTACGCCCATCTTGATCTTAAATCCACTCCCTGGGACTCGCGTCAGGAAGGGATCGGTGGCGCGGCACATCTAAAGTATTCCCTCCAATTAATCACCGACTACCTGTGTGGCGTGCCTTGTGTCGAAGACATCACAGTCATCCGAAGCCACTCTGGAAAGCATGGATCAGGACCATTTTTAGATCGATTTTGAAGGCTTGCATTGAAACTTTGGACGGCAGTTGATTATGTTGAAGATATGTTGAAAGCATGGATCAGGACCATTTTTAGAAGTTTTTAGATCGATTCATAGATTTGCCTTGTGCTTACAGGAAAGATTTTGTGACTTCTATTATTGTTTTAATCATTTTTTGGACCAGATTCGTTGCCTTGCCCTGATAGTTGGTGTGGCAGCTGATTTTCTGACATTAACATCATTGTTTGTTATCACCTGCTGGACTTTGTTGTACTGATTTTGTGCTGTCTTGTGGTGGTCAAAGACTCATGGCTATACATTTCTGGATTCGGTTGGCGTTTGTGGAATTTGCAATGTCGGTGATATTGTATCAGTAGCTTCGATGCTTTGATGCGAGTTCTTCAGTCGTAACGTGATCATCTGACAAAGGCTGTACCTGTATGTATGTACATGTATCTGCAAAATAACATCAGAGTCT